CTAATCACCTCCCAGTGAATCCAAACAGATACCTAAGGAGGTGGAGCAAGAGATGCAAACCAGCCATCAACTGAGCACTCACCTCGTGTCTGTCTGACGCTGTACCAAGTTTGGGATCATGTAGTGACCACAGCTCATGGTCCAAAGTCCTTCACATTCTTTTGTTACAAGAGCAGGATGTGTATTAACAGTCCAATGTATCAACTGTCATAACTGTGCATAATGGAAAGGTTTGTGTCCCTGCCAAAACATATTGATGTTGTATTCCCTGGTAACTGTAACTGTGACCTTATTTGCAAATAGCGTCACACCAGATACAAGCAAGTTATAATGAAGTCAGTAGACTGGACTCTAATTGAGGCCATTAGTGCGGTTCTAATCCAAAACAATGCTTCTTAAAAGAGTAGGAGAGAGAAGCCCATTCTAAGAGAAAGTCATGTGGCCATAGAGGTAGAGATTAGAGTCATGTATCTTCAAGGGACAGAATTCTAAAGATAGCTGGCAACACCAGGGATAAATAATCCAGAGAGTGCTCTTCTAGGGCCGTGGAGGGAGCAAGGCCCCATTTCTCCTTGAGCTTGTTTTCAGGTATTCAGTTTGCAGTATGTTCTTAAAGCAGCTCTAGGAAACTAATAGAGGTGATCAGTTTGATGTGTCAACCTGGCTTGGCTATATAACCCTCAGTGACTCAATTAAACACTAATCTTAGTGTTGTTGTGAAGGCATCTGTGGATGTGATTAATATCTGTAATCAGTTGACATTCAGGAAAGGAGATTGGTGGGCCTGACTCAAGCTGATGAAAGGCCTTAAGAGTAGAAATGAGGCTGCTCTGAAAAATCAGGACTTTTTTTTTTTTTTAAGGAGTTTTGTTTATGGAGTGCAGCTTCAGCTGATGCCCATGGATTTCATCCAGCGCTTCCCAGCAGTCTGCACTATGGGTTTCAGATTTGCCTAAGCAACCCTGACAATTGTGTAATTTCTTGCAATAAATGTCTTTTTGTATCTCCCTTGGTTCTTTTTTTTTTTTTTTTTGAGTGGAACTCTGACTAATACATAAACAGATGATGCAACCTTGAAATATATTTGCCTAAAAAGGCTTGTGGAGTGAGTGGCTAAAGGGGGGTACCAGGTGGGCAAGGGTATTTCAGCATGTGTGAAGCTGGGGTGGTGAAGCTCCGCCTCTCTCCTCCCCCAGTGGCTGGGGAGATGTGCTGCGGTTTATCCTGATTGTATTTTCACTGTGCAAGACAGCCCTACCACTCCAAAGGAAACCTCTAACAAAGCCTAGGAGACTTAATACCAATAGACGGCCTGGGGTGTGTGAAATTCTGTGCGTGCATGCATGTTTTTCTGAAGGAACAGTTTATTATTTGATCGGTTTTTTGGAGGTTTCCCTAAAGTGCAGGATATGAGACAGAAGCAGAGGGCCAGGTGAGGGTCCGCAGTTCCAGGGCTCCTTGAAGTGGCACAGAGGGCGACCTGGGTCAGGAGACAGCTTCATTGTGCCTCAGTCTCCCAGTCTGTAAACTGGAGTGATCAGCCTACCTCCCCTTTTCACTGGTCCGCACATCTGCAAGGTGGTGCTGGGAAATGGCAGTGAGATGTTGCCCCTGCGGCGCGCCAGCATTCCCGAAGGCTCATGGAGTGCAGCGCAGTGTTAAGGATCCCCCTAAATTAGTATGCTAATGACGCAACCCGGTGCGAGGCCAAAGATGCCAGTCTACGCCGGCCCAATAGGGACCCTCAGGTGGGGGTGCACAGTCCCGCGACGGCGGCCGGGAAGGGGGCGGGGCGCAGGTGGGGCGGGCCGGGGGCGGGGCAGCGCGTGGTTCCGGGATCCGGGTCCGGCCTCCGTGGCCTTCGCCGCGGGGCGCGCCAACCGCTGGCGGCAGCTGGTGGGCGCATGTTGGGGTGCGCGACACGACGGCACTGCCCGCGGAGGCTGCGGCGCGGCCGAGGGGCGCTGCTGGCTGTGCTGGCCCTGCTGGCGCTGGCCGGGCTGGGCGCGGTGCTGCGGA